ACATATCAAATATATGTTTCTTCTACCCTTTTATAGTGTAGTTTATATACTATGTAATAAAGGGTAGTAAATCTAAGCTATCTATATATGCACGTATAGTTTGCTTTGTCCAATTAGTGTTCCTGGCTACTGTTTGGCCAGGAACATTTGACAAAGCAACCTGGGTATGTTATTACAGGCTGAAATGATTGTGTCAAGTGTGAAGCAAACCCTAATAGAATTTTTTCCCCTATTCAACACTGATGGAGTATTTCATTGTACTTATGCAGTTTCTCCTGTCAGTTTCTGGAGTGTTAAAAGCTCTTTGATGGGAGCTCTTACCTTTCCAGAGCAATGCATTTTTTTCCTGTGCAGAATCCATTTCTGTTGCCAAAGTGATGAAGGGCAGACAACAACTGTGGTGTTTTTTACATGGCCTTTCTTGCCCCGCATCCAGCCGGGTCAGTGTTTTTTTCTGTAAAAACCTCACTTAAAGGGATGCCACCTTCTAGCTGATGGCTCTATTTTAGGAGACAAAGCATTAGGGGAATGAGCCTGAATCTCAGCGAAAGGGGACACTGCAGCCGTATGGATTCCTGCTCGAACAGTGCTGCTTGACTGTAAAATGACGGCCGTTTCTCTCACTTCCAGGAATCTCTTCTTCCTGGAAGGTGAGTGGCTGAGTTCACCCTACTGCCGAGATGCAGCCACACACACTCACAGTCTGTATGCCAGTGCTGTTTCCAAGGAGTTGGCTGTGATAACACTCCAGGGTATCGTCAGCAAGGTAGAATAATGTAAGTTAAATGGGGAAGGGTGGCTGTCTGAAATAACTCCATGCTGTTTCTGTTTTTATTTACATTTGGCGCCATTTGGGGTGTGGGGGTGTGGAGTGTTTCTGATACTGTGCAGAGCAGCTGAGGAAGTCACTCACTTCAGATGCAGATAAATTGATCTCTTGAATCCCTTATCTGTTCAAGGGGCAGTTTGTGACTGTTCGGAATGCAACTGCAAATTTTTGGATATGGATGAACAGCAAGATGAAAGTGATGTCTATTTTAAAGGGAGCTGCCAGATCTCAGCTGAAGTCTCCCCTTTTCTCTTCTCCCTCTTTCCACCCCCCCCCCCCTTATTATTATCTGATAAATGCCTAGGGAGAGGGTGGGATCATAATTCACTACCTGTGCTAGAAAGGAGCAGAACATAGCTTTGGTCCAAGGCTTTACTTTCTCTGGTGAGAACTGTTGGTTGCTGCTGGCTGTTTTTCTTAACCATGTTATTACTCAGTTCTAATTCAGATTTCATGTTCACCATGAGGAAGGGTGTATGGCTGCATCTGAGTGCTCACAAGAGTCTTTAGTCCCTTCTTTAGTTCTCTAAAGAATGGAGAGATTAAAGGAGAGAGAATCTTTCAGAACCAGACTCCAAAACTCAAGGGAGGGAGGGGTGAAATATTTGCAATATCCCTGCCCTGCTTTCAGTAAACTTAAGTTCACCTAATTGGAACAGCATGCTTGCTTTCTTTTAATAGATGCTAGAATGGGTTAACCGATATGAGCAGGAGAACAACAAACAGCCCATTCAAACTCAGAAGAAAACCATCACAAAAGCTTCAGCAAGGAGACTTTCTCCAGATGTGCTTCCTGCCTTTGAGAGCATGAATTCTAAGCAGATAAGAGTGTTTCTACACAATGGGAGCACTGAATAGAAACTGGACAAAGAGGGCAGAGAGGGGTGGAGTAGGTGATTTATAGAAAATACAGGCAGGGGGCTTGGCTTAATTGTTGTAGTGTTGTAGCTATGCCATGGCTCCACTACCTGTACTGATCTGGCTACATCAAATGCACTATCAATTGTCAGTGAAAATGCTACTCATTCTCCCTGTAAATATTATCAATTTTGGTAGATGCTTTTTTGATGTACCTTGTTAAACGGTAGAAAATTCAAAACTTTCAGGGAGGGTAGGTGCCCTATAGGTAAGAGGCAAATCCCAGCATTCCTCTGGTTTTTTTTTTTAGACAATTGTACTATTTAATGCACATACACTAATTTGCTCTTTTTAAAATATGCAAATGTATGCCTGATTCCCATACCACAATTACATTTACAAGCACCATGATCTTAATTGCACTTTGGTGATGTGCCTGAGCTGTAACTCTTCAGAATGAGCATGGAATTTGTGTGGCTAGATTTACCTCCTTAATAAAAGTATGCACATCAGTTGGAATATTGAAAGTGAAAAGCATAAAAATATAAGCTAATTGTCTGTTGTGCTTGTTTCCTACATTTCGAGAACTTTTGATACAGTGAAATATATACAGTTGTTCCTCCACATTTGTGGTTTACTGTTGCTGATTTGTTTATTCATGATTTTGATTAAAACTGTTATCTCTTGGAATTGCTAAATCCTCCAGTTTGATTCTATGATCAGTTTTCTCCAGTCTCGAGGACATAGACATTTCTAGAAAGAGAAAATGTCTTGGAATTTTTAGGTCCTTCAGTGTGATTCTACAGTAAATTTCCAGTAGATGTAGACCATAGAATTGTGCTGGAAGATGTTGAAATTCCTAGTGAAGCGTTCCCTCAGGTAAAACAAAAAAAACCTAACAATTTTATTTTCACTTTTATGGGGATCCTGTGCCTATTACCTCAGTCAATGTGGAAGGCTTACCCTATTCTTGGAGAATTCAACCTGATTCTGAAGTGATACAGCCCTGAAACAGATAGTATCATCATCAAAAGACTGTGGCCTGAGAGGTTCTTTCAGTCTTATTAGGACAAAAGTGGATACATTCTGACACTGTATTAAGTTTACCAAACTGCCTACAGTTGTAGATTCACAGTGTCTACTCTGCTTTCCTAGATCTCATGAAATGGGCTAGTTCAGCAATATTAATGTTACTGGCTTGCTAAACTTTAAAATGTACTGGTATATTTGTGTCCATTCTCTCTCAATTCCCTTCCTGTCCCATGGACTTTCTTGATGTTATAATCCTGGCTTAATCAGGATTCCCTTGATATGCGTTTATTAACTTGTGTCCCTTCTTTAAATCATGATTTGATCCTAGTTTACAATGGTATTTAGTAAGCTGACATTAGCAGCGCAACCTTACTTATTCAGAAGTCCCTTTTGAGTTTAGTAGGGCTCCCTTTCAGTGAAGTAGGTATAGAATTGTTTCCTTCTTTAGGACATAAATGAAACAGATTGGAGAAACAGGGATGAAATTAATAGCAGGTACAGAATGGGTGTGTGCACGTGCGTGCACGCTTGAGTTTTCTGAAGAAAGTACTTGTTGGCTTCCTGGCTTACTAATGATATTTTAGCAAGCTAGTTGTGTTCAGTTTAAAAGAGCCATGTTTTTGTCCCTTATCGTATGCTTTGTGTCAATGGGAAGCTTGAGTTTGCCACAGATCTTTCCTAAATCAAAGTTTCTCTGGGGAGCTTGAAAGCTGTTACAACTGAGATATCTATGCAGCTAGGATATTCCCTCTGCTGAAACATGTAAGAAGAACTCTATGGGATGGATTGATCGTGAGAGCTACATTGTCCAGGAAGTCTGATACCCTTGTAAGCATTTATCAACAAGACCTAGGAATTTAAGAATCCTAGACTGTAATTCAAGGCACACTTCAAAGGAGGCCCTTTGTTTAACACAATAGGAAGAACTTCTGAGTCAATGTGCTTAGGATTTTGTGTGAGAACATGCACATCCTTCTAAATAAAAGAAAAATGGATGTTGAAGGAATTTTGAGCCCTGAGACTCTTTGGGGGACAGACCTTCCCAGGTATCTCATCAGGTTATACTGTGGGCTTCTATAGTGAGCTACTGGATTAATTTAAGAGTCTCTGTGTGTGTACATGCCAACAAATGAAAATATATAATGGAAACACATATTTTACCTCATAGCAAGATAGTGATACATAGGCAATGAGTTTTAGACTAATACATTTGGTCAAAAATTCAGACAACGTTGTACATGAATTAGAGTAGCATTTCTGAGATAAACAAGCTATAGATGGAGATTGGGCGCCTATTAACATAAGTAATAGAAAATGAGGTTTTAAAAAGATTCTGGCTTGTCTGCTCTGATAATCCAAACTATTGCAATAGGTTAGCTTTTCTAAACAGGGAATTGCCCAATGGTATCCAACTAGTATTGTAAAAGTCAAATGTTCAGGCAGTTTTCAACAATGTATGAGCTCTGTGTATGCTGCACTAATGTTGCCTCATGAAGGCAACATTAGTTCAATGAAGGAATCCATTTGAAAGAAATTCTCTTCAGTGATACTGTCATCTTGAGTTTGGATTTGATAACCACACCTTTATTATGAACAATGATAATAGCAGCTGTTCTTTGGTAGCTTTACATTGTTTCAACTTACTTGTATATGATTGTTTTTGTAGTTTGCTTAATTGGCATTGAACATTATTTTCAAGTGCAAAGCATCCAGCAGCAAGGATATGACTACTTGGATCTCATTTATGCATTTATGGTGATTCACATTTTAAATGAAAAAGCCCTCTGTTCTTTAATTGCCATGTAATGAAATATTTGCTCTTCAGTGAGGAACAACAGATGCTGCTGCTGCATATATTGCTTAGAACCATTCCAGTAGCCTAGTGGCTCTAGGTCATTTTGGCCATGTATGTTAAAGTGGTGCTATAATTCTGAAGCTGTTTATGAAATCAGCCATATAAACATATAGCATGTTTAATAAAATTGTTTTATCAGTACCTGGTGTGATTTTTGTGAATGCTTGTCAAATGCTGTTTCTGTCAAACAATAGGTTTTGAATCCATTCATTTCAGACTTGATGATATCAGGGGGCATGACTACAGGGCACTTTATTATTTGAAGATGTTTGGATATTCCCTTTAAAAATTGCATCTTGCACTAAGAAGAGCTTCCCTTCCAGTCTTCTGACATAGCCATATAGCAAAATAAAAATTAGTTACTTGAGATGGTTTCTTAAACCAAGGCTATGCAAACTTACCTGTACCCCTGCTTCTTTCTTAAAGGTAGTGGAGATTCCTCTTTGGAAAAGGAGTTCACCTCCACCATTGTGGGGCCAACAGTGAGCACACCAAACAGCCAACACTCCTCCCCAATCCGCTCCCTTAGTGGTGAGTATGTGATCTTGTGATTCTAAGAATTCGCCCTGAAAATGCATTATGCTTTGTTTTGATTGAGCTAATGACCACATTTAAAGGAAGAGCCATTTTCTGCTCTTGATAACTTTTTGCACCAGAGTGCTAAAAGTGCCGAAACAAAGCACAACTGGAAGAGGTAGTAAGTCTACATCTGGTCTTGAAAAATGAATATTTTTTACTGTAAAGCAATTTAGAAAAAAGCTATCTCATTGATCATGAAGGCTTTTGAAGCGGTGAGTCCCTTTTTTTAAAAAAGCAAAGTGACATTTTTGAGGAATTGGAGGACGACACAAACAGCCTTAGAAGCCACACTTTGCCCACTCCTAACCTAAACCAATAATTATCTCCAGTTTGACAAGACCAAGATGGTCTTAGTAAAGATCATGAAGTTATCTGGAAATTTTCATAGGACCAAGGTATAGTGAAGTCAAGGCCTTTCAGGACTGAAACATTGAGACTTCAAAGGGGACACTTTAGACTACTCATTTCTTTAGCTTTAAGGCGTACAGCTGTTAGGAAAGTATTTCTATGTAGTGATGGAAAAAGAGACTTTAGGGATATCTTGACCCTATACGTGTGTGTGTGTGTCACAATATACGCATAGAGGTAGATCAAAACAGTTGTCTGCTTTTGAAGGTAGTGACAATTGTGACTGTCATTACAAGTGTCTACACTTTAAATTTTACCTGAGATTTGTTCTAGATGTGGCTCTGAGAAAGATATAATTTTTGATACAGCAATTTTAGACTATATAGGTTTTCTGCAAGGATAGTTAGCATGGTTCTCTTACCTGGTGTCTTGTCCTGTTCCAGTTCTGGCCCTAAGAATGTGCAAGCGCTCATTCAGATATATATATATATGTATATGTATATGTATGTAAGATTTTATTCAAAGATATTGAGTCACTTCACAATTCCGGTTACATTAGAAAAGTAAAAAGGCTGTTTAAGGGCTCTCTCTGTCCTAGTGAATGGCAGCAGAATGAAATTGTTGAGAGAAAGCATTTAGTGATGCTGATTTATATGATGCAGAGAGGAGTTGGACATGTGGGGAATTTAAATACAAAGAGTACTGGGAAAAGACTTGTATGTATTAATGGAGTCTAACTTGTTGCTGTCTGAACCTTCAGGCCTTGCTTGCTGTAATTTATAGTTGTTTTTTGTGTGAAAGAAACCAAATTCTGTGGAAAAGTATGAAGTTGCCAAATTGTAGAATGAGCTTGTTGTTGTGTGTCTTCAGATTTACTCTACTTTATGGTGTCCTTCCCATGGGGTTTTATTGAGAAGACTTGTTCACGTGATATTTGCCTTTGCCTTCCTCTGAGCCTGAGGGTGTAGGTCTGTCTAGGGTCACCCAGTAGGTTTCTGTAGCATGATTCAAACCAGGTCACCTGAGTTCTAAAACACTTAAACCACTAAACCATGCTGGTAGTATAACAGTTGTCTGCTTTTGGAAATGGCAAATAATTGGTGTATTTCATTTCATTTCTGCATTACATTGACTTTTTATGATTCCTCGCATGATAGATCTGCAACGTCATTTCTTACTCTGAAGTCTCGTGATATCTGGGTTGTAAATGGTAACTTTGGATCCCATTCTAGTACAAGAGTGGGGTATACAATAAATAAAAATAATTTCTTGGTTTTCACCATTTGGAAAAGAGCATTCAGAAGTTCATATAATGCGTTTTGCATTTTAGTTGATTCCACATAAAGTTATCCATTTCTTTGTTTGGTGTAAGAGAAAAAGATTGCTGATAAAGGAGTGAACAAGCAGGAAATGAAGATCTTGCTCTCTAACAGGGAGATGCAGGCTCTTGGTGTTGCTTCTGATCAGTCTTGATTTCACAGCTGGTTCAGCTAGCAAGTTCATGCCCCAGTGGAGCATTACATTGGAATATTAGAGTGGAGCATTACATAACCTGTTTTGCCAGCCCAACGAGAAACCACTTTCTTTTTGTAAGGAAGATTGCAGAACAATAGCCCTCCCTTCTCTGTCCAGGGTAGTGGTGGTGGGGGGAACCTCCTTTCTTCCTCTGGGGGTGGAAAAACATCAAAGTTCACCCAGCACCAATGTGAATGTCTCCTGCCCCAGTGAATTGGCTTTCACTTTGTATTTGTTCACAGAGGTGTCAGCTTATACTGGATCTCCAAGATACTGCTCCTGGGAAATAGGTTATTGTTGTTAAAATCCTCTAAACTCCTGCCTTCTTCACTCCTAGAAGAGTATGCTCTAGTTGCAAGGATTGTTTCCAGCCTCAGCGTTTACTTATAGTACAACAGTGTCATTTAAATTCATTGCTAAAGGCTCCCTGTTGTGTGTTCCTCTTGATGAGGATAGGACTCTTCTAGGATATTATCGTGCAGCAATTCTTAACCTTCTCTTTTCCATAGATTCCCATTAAATATTTTTAATTGCTGTAGAGCACCATGACTCAACTCAAGATTTCAAAAGTTATAGTGTATTAAATATTCATTTAAAGTTGCTCCTCAAATTTGGAGAGAAGGGACAAATAAGTAAATGCTGCTTTGCTGATACTCAGGGCTGCTGCCTTTCCCTGCCGCACCAACACTCCCCATTTTGTATTGGCATTAGCCTTTGCATGGGACCTGTTCTTATGCCACAAATTCATCCTTGGCTGCACCAACAGTGCTCATCCCAGTGGCAGTTCCACCTCACCAGATCTTCTAGGCCTTGTTGACTGCCAAATACATTGCCAGGGCAGCAATGTGTGCACAGATGTCACTGATGTTGCTGTGGTAATGCCATCAAAATGAGAGGAGGGTCTTTTGTTTAAATCCAGGAAATCTCTAAACTCTGTTACACTTTCCAACAATCAAGTCAAGTGATATCTTGACTTAAGAGTTTAATGCGTTCTGTGACTGAGCTCTTAACTCAAAATTCTCCTATCTCAAAGCATATTTTCCCATTGAAATGCTATTAATCTGTTCCAGCTTGCGAAACCCTCTCCCCAATTTTTGTTATGTGTTTTAAATAAGAACATGTACTTTACAAATAACAAATAATGTATAAATACACAATTACATGGAACAATGAAAAAGAGAGACGAACTTCAAAATGGTTGAAGCACAAAGTTGTGGCAAAGAAGCACACTTGAGGCAACAAAATCTGTGTAGGCCAGTGTAACAGCAGGGCAAGACCTGCACATTCACATAGAAAAATAAAAAGAAAGATCAAAAGAAGCACAAAGTTGTGGCAAGGAAGCACAGAACACAAAGTGAATAGGCAGAAGCATCATTTTCTTCATACTGGGCTCATTCAGGCTTCTCTCCTTATCTTGCTTTCTCTCTTCATGAAGCTAAACATATCAGAAATAAAAACCACACAAAATAAACTAATCTAAAGTTCCTCAAAGCAGACAAGAGCAAAGTGGACAGCGATCTCCCAAAGTGGACAAGAGCATGAAGCATTGCGGTTGCTCCCTTGAAGCTCTAAAGCCCTGTACTCTCTCACTAGCACTCCCTCTGGTGCTAGCTCTTAGCTAAAAATGCTGCTCTTATGTCAAAGCAAAACCTGGGTCAAACAACAACTCTTAACTCAATATGCTCTTAAGTTCAGATGCTCTCAAGTAGAGGTTCCACTGTACCTTCCAGTGGATTTTCCACCACAATCTGTAACCATCTTTAATTTATTATCTCATCTTGTCTCATAGCACTTTTCAGAAACTCAGGAACCAAAATGACTAAAAGAGGAGAAAGTTCGGAAACACATACTTTTTTGTATGTTGCAGAGTTTTGTTAATTTTCAGTTAACCAGAATTCAACCTCCTGTATATTACAGATTGCTTTTACCCATTTGCTAGTTGTGCCAAAATAAAAAAGTTCAAATTATCCAACAGCTTTTTTCTTCATCCTAAAAATTCAATGCTGCATGTTTTTCATTGTGTCTTTCTCAATATTCCAAAATATCTAAAGTGTTTCACAAATTATCTGTCAGCTGTCTTTTTGGTAAAAATCTACATTGGTCTTGATGATTGAAGTCTTCCAGAATTAGCTTCAGTCTTCTGTCTAGATGGTGTAAGAATCTTATAGCCATTATTCAGCAGTAGAATAGATTTGCAATTCTTTGTCAGTGTCAAATCTTGACTTTACGTAGGGGTTATACTGTAGCTGCTTCTTTCTTCATTATGGGAATCATTTCATTCTGAGAATAGAATTCAGTGTCTTTAAAGGTAGGAAGAAGGTGAGAAATCAAAGAGTCTTTAGCAATCTGTTTGCAATTAGGTGGTAACTACTGTCCAAATTCTGGATGTCATCTCGTGGCAAAATCTGTGACAGCTTTCCCCAGCCTAATGTGTTGGACTAAAACTCTAATTGTTGCCCAACACATCAGGAGGAAACACACTTGAGGAAAGCTAGTTATTCATCACATCTCACACTTGAGTAGAGCGTATAGTGCCATCATTGGAGGGTTAAACTGGATATAGTCAAGCCAGCCATATTGCATACCTGTTTGCCCCATTCAAAATGCAGGAACTAATGGACATTTTCCATTATAACATGAATGAAAATGAGTGCTTTCCTGGGGAGAATAGAGTCTTTTTCTTTCTTAATTCAGTATACTCAGCTTAGTTCTGATACTAAAAGTAGAAGTGAGCAACAAAGCGTGAGGAGCTAAGGAGAGGAAGAGTTCAGCTCCCCTTTTTAGATTAAGATTCTCCCTGTTTTAAAAGTGTGTGAATCAAACAGAATAATAACAGGTTCAGTGATAGAGCCAATGCTTTGTTTGTAGAGGGGGTCCCCACTTCAGTCTCTAGTTGAGTAAGAACTCCCTATTCTGAAACTTGGGAATTATGACCACAGAAAATATTTAACATTACAAGGGACGCAATATGGTATAGGTCCTGTATTCTTAACAAAGCTTCCCCGTCGCCTCCAACGTAGTTCTTATTCATACTGTTCTTCCACTACAGAAGAATGCAACTTAGAAGAGAACCCAGCAGATCTGATATGTTAGGAAATTTGAACACAAGAGACCTTATTTCTAAATACACTCCAACCAAGATAGAATGACCAAAACTGGCTATGAACCAAAGGCTCGGGAGTGTTTATTCTGTGAGGCCTTTTAACAGCATTCCTTCTGCAGTGAAGGTAGCTCCATGTATCAAAAGGTAAAGAGGCAGGAAGCTCTCATTTCTGAAATTTACATTCCATTAGCTGCTTCAGGAGGTGGTAGGGTGTGCTCTGCTTTTCAGGATGCCAGCGTCCACTGACTTGCAAAGTGCTTCTTTCTGCCTGATCCTCAAGAAGGTTTTTCCATCCCACAATTTGTAATTATTTGATTACAGGTAATAACGAGTTTGTATGCGGTCTACACACTGTAGCATTATTTAAATTCTGATATCCTGTTCACCACTGTAGCTATTTGATTGGTTTTTTTTTAACTGTGGTGAAGGGCAAGAGAGGAATGCTTTGTGGCTTAAAAGTAGGAAACACTTTTTAGCTTGTGGGGACTTGGTAGTCACTGACTACTAGTCAGATATGAAACTAGAGCGCTAGACCCCTTTTTAGCATTGCTACCTTGGTCAGTTTTCATCCTTTTAAATATTTGATAGCATACTTTACACCTTGAAGTGGCACAAACCTTTCCTACCCATCATCTGAAATTGTTTTCAGTCACCCAGCAGGATCTATTATAACACAATGTGATGTGCAATTTTACCTGTATGAATTGATATGGTCTCCTTAGTGGTTGCAATCTCAGGTTTAATCCCTTGTGTGTGGTAGATTTCAGGTGTAAAATTATAGTAAATTCCTATAAATTAGTTGTTCTGGGTGTTGGTGGAAACATTCTTAAGTCCTGTCTCCAAAGGTTTAGTGTGTTTCTATAATATCCATAGTCACTTCTAGTTGAGGAGAGAGGCCTGAGGATGAATTGTTTTAATCTAAGTACAAAGAGCCTTCCTGGATCAGCTATTTGAATAAAGATAGATTCTTCATCCTTATAAATATCCTTGCTAATTTTCAAACACAATTTAGCTTCTCTCTTTTTATTTTGCAGGGCATTTGGAGTTTGTTGTTATTGCTTTTTAAAAAGCTAACCCATTTCATATAATATTCAATATAAACCTGTTAACATTTTGTTTTCATCTTTTTCCCTGTCCATAGAAAATTCTATCAAGGTGGAAATGTACAGTGATGAAGAATCAAGCCGGCTGCTGTCACATGATGACCGGCTCCTTGACAAAGATGACAGCGTGATTGTGGAGGATTCTCTCTCAGAGCCCCTTGGCTATTGTGATGGTTCAGGACAAGAACCACATTCCCCTGGAGGCATCCGTCTGCCCAATGGCAAATTAAAATGTGATATCTGTGGGATGGTGTGCATTGGTCCAAATGTACTTATGGTACACAAGCGCAGTCATACTGGTGAGCAAGCAGTGAGGGCTAATGCATATGAAGGGCATTTGTATAGATATTAATTGCATTAGAAGTTTGTCACTTTCAGAGCATTAAGCAAATTATGTTTAACCTGGAATTGCCAGGGGCTGAACATGGTGCCTTCTGTGTGGAAACCATACTAAGCCAGTGCTCTGCAATGCTTGGTCTTTGTAGTATGAAGACATTTAGTGTATTTGTGGCTTAAGCAAGATTTGACTTGTAGAACTTTGTTACTTTTATTCTTGACCATTTAATGATGCTAGTTTTCAATATAGGTGGATTAAAGGCATTCCAACTAAACACAAAAGAGCAAAAGAGGGGCCATTGTAAAAAAAAGAAAAAAGAAAAAATAAGATTAATATTTATAAACTGGATGACACTAATTGGCAAAGCAAAAGATCTTCAGGACAATAACAAAACTCAAAACAAAGCTCAGGTGAAAGCTGAAGCAAAAAAGAGATCATAGGACACATATAAAGAGGCTGGCAAGGGAGCTGAGAATGCTTGGCTGCCACAAACCTTATTTTCGGTTGCCGATGTGCAAAAATAATAAAAACTCTTATATTCCCTCTAATGGATAGACAGAACTTAAATGAAATTGAGCTGTAAGGACTGCAACAAAATGAAAGGAGGTAGTGGCATGGTGATGATGATTTGAAAGTGGATCTCAATCAGGATCTGTTTAACTACTCCTAACTGAGTTTAAGGCATTCCTAGACTAAGGGAAAATGTTTTCAGTACCTGGATAATTTTTCCCAGTCAGTAAAATAACACTGGAACCCAAATTATCAGATCCTGTCTGATCTTGGAAGCTAAGCAAGGTCAAATCTGAGTAGTACTTGGGTGGGGTACTGCTAATAAATACCAGGTGCTGAAGGTTGTTTTTCAGAGGAAGGAACTAATAAAACTTCCTCTGACTATTCCTTGCCTATGAAAATCCTCTGAAGTTCATGGGGCTTCCACTAGTCGAGTGGCAACTTAAAGGCACATACACAAGATAATATTTCCAGAGAAAGATGTTTGAAGGGAATTGTTTGATGGAAGCTAGGATCAAGGCTAACCTTTCCAGATACCCAATAATGATACTCTTGTTTCCAGGTGAGAGGCCATTCCATTGCAATCAGTGTGGTGCCTCCTTCACCCAAAAGGGCAACCTCCTGCGCCACATCAAGCTACATTCAGGCGAGAAGCCCTTCAAATGTCCCTTCTGCAATTACGCCTGCCGGAGGCGAGATGCACTCACAGGCCACCTCCGCACACACTCAGGTGGGTCTAGGGTTCTCCTCCTGCATAATGAGTGCTATTTCTTGTGTAGATTGTTGACATGGTTGGTGGACTTGAAGACTATCTCCCTAGCCATGACATTTGTGTTGTGTTCTTTTAATTTAATCTGAAGTTCACTTGCCTTGGTTGAGGAGAACACAAAGCTTTCTAACTGCAGAGCTGTAATAGTTTCCTCTTGGCTTCAGTTTCTGTATTACTTTGCGGCTGTTTAAGTTTTCACAGCCATCCATGGCCATCTGTGACTCTTCTTCTGCTTCGTTTTTTCAAGTGCTAAAGAGACTGGAAATTTTTATAGAGAATATGTTACCCCCCATCATGATAATTGTTATGGTCTCGAGAAAGATATGTTCTCATATATTTCTAGTGCTTTGTGTGTTTTGTGCGATAGTGAGCCTTTGTGTTGCACAGAACTGTTCCTCCTACAAAAACAATAGCTTTCTCCTGTCTAAAGGAGGACGGTGCAGTTTGTGCTACATGGTAAATCCAACAAGAAGAATAGTCAGAACTATTCTGAGTTTGGTCCTGTTCTCAAAATTAGCATTTTAGCTATTTTTTTTGCCAAATAAATGTTTAATAAAGCCAGAATTTCTTTGATAAATGAGCTTGCTAATGTAGAGTAACTAACTTGACAGGTTTTAATGGAAAGCATCATGCTGCTGTCCCATGTTTTAATATGTTCAAACAATTAATTGCTTCTCCTTTTGCCTACTTCCTGGAACTTTGGGTGACCATACCTGCCCACACTTGTGCAATGAATATAAATTTTCTGTTGATGGCCTGCATCATCAATATTTTAGAATTTTGGGGAAGTTACATACATTCGGTCTGTGCTTAAAGCTGCAAATTGTTGCTTAACTTTCAAATAGACCCCAGTGGACATTGGGTCCATATTTCTAATCTACTAATAGACCCTTTGCATTGATGTATTGGGTGAATTGTGAATCAAGTTAAACCTCGGACAAATGGCATGGTGAGAAAAATTAATTTATGATTTTTTTGTTTTTTTCAAGTCCAGCTAAAAGTTGGAATTTGAAATATGTGCTTTTCTGGCTCCTCCTTTCTGAATCAAGAATATTTAAAGAAAAAGAGAGCAGTGTCATGATGGCCTGTAGCATGTGGAAGGGGAGGGGGGAGTAAGAGACAGAGAGACAACAAGGGAGAGACCAACCCCATCAAAGCAATAATCCTCAAAACAAAAAGGGTTCCTTCTATGACTGTCATCAGTGTACTTGTTAGAGAGCCATGCAGCTGTTTTTGTTCCATTTCTAGGGTGAGGGTGAAGTTGACTTACTTCTGCATCATTTCAAGAACAATAAAAACCGAAGGGCAGGAATGGGGAGCGAAGGGGAAATTTGCATCTCCTTTGTGACTCCTTCTACCATCTTAGGAAGTCCATCCTGTCACTTTGAAAATCATGACTCTGACAGGGTCAGTTTTTCCTTTCATTCTGGTTCATTCTGACTGTTCCCTATTTCCAACTAAGTTTTATTTGTAGGTAGAAAAAATGATTGTGGAGCATGTAGATGCATTGTTGTGAAAAACAAAAGTTGTTTTGTGAGCCAAGGAGAGCCAGCGTTTTGGTTTTTTTCCATAAGCTTGCGTGGTAGTTGAAGGATGCCGTGGAGCTACGACAGCTCTCTTCACAGATCACTGTGCATTGCCAGGATGCCGTTGCTCTGTGCCTTGAGGCCTTTGGTCTTCCTGAAGAGTCCTTCAGTCTAGAGGAATCAAAATCAGTTGTCACTTTACCCAACAAGCTTCCACTTGGGTTGTTCATGGCGACACTTAGCAATGGAGACAGTTTGTCTGATTCTGACCCTTCAGGGAGCAAACCAGTAGGTACCCGCAGTGCTCAGAGTGGTGCTGAACTCCTGTTTTGCATGTAACATTTTGAGACCTGAGAAAGGACTTGCAGATTTTGGATTTGTTCAGCAGCAAAATAGAAAGGTGTTGGCATTTGCCACCAAGGGAGAAGCTGCCTCTGCAAAGAGCACTTTCAGGGTCATTGTACTTTGTAGCTTCAGAAAAGGCCCTTAAGGCTAGCTAGTTGGATTGTGGGAGCTGTAATATAATTACAGTGAAGCCTGGGCCCTGTCTTTAAAAGAAATGTATTGTCTTGCTGAGCGAAATAGTAGCTCGGACTGTAACATCTGTAGAAAGGTTGATTAACTCAGAAGAGCTTGTAGATGTCAGCTTTTTAATGTATTTGAGAACATATCCCTGTTCAGTTTTGGTCCACTGGAAACATGGAGACAAATAGATCAAATGTTCAGGAATTCTCATGCAGTGACCCCAATAATTCAAATGGCAATACTTTGCACAAGTGCTAATCTCACATGTTTCCCTCTGTATGCCTGGCTTTGAGTAAAATGTTCAGTCTATGTCTAGAGCTGATCACATCACATTGTGTATATAGGCTTACTAGCCTTGTTCCTTGGAAGTTTTCTGTGTGCAGAGAAAGTCTTTGCCTGTCAATGTGAAGTCCCTTTGGCAGTCTGAAGAAGCACAGCTACCTAATGAGTGCCTAATCTCACACAGATTAGGGGACGTTGCTTCTGTTTTGTTACTTTTATGTCCCAAACTGCACTATTTCTTTAGAGTGTAAGGGGTAAGATTGACATCTGACTTTTTATTTTGATGTTCTGGCTATGTTTTCCCCCAGACATTAAAGTCTGAATCCATTAGAAAGACTCAGAACAAAACACTGTGTCATTGCATCACTGGCATAAACCAACAAATGTACCCCTGCCCCAAAGACTTGCAGCAGAGAATTGTGTTGAGCTCATACTCCTGTGGCAATGAAAAGGAAAGCACTAAATTTACAAAAAGCATTAGGGACTGATCCTCAGGGTGAGGTAATCATGGCAAACAGCCAAACAAAGAATGGAAACAGCTACATAGCTGCAGGATATATGAACCTCTGAATATAATATTTGATTCCTGTATCTGCAGTTAAGACATTCCCAGATTTCAGACAGATACATGAAATTCCAGATAATAGCAAACCCTATTATTTTCAATAGGAAAAACAACAACAACAAAGGTAGCAAGAGAAGGAGGTAGTCTGTACAGCAGGCATGGGCAAACTTCGGCCCTCCGGGTGTTTTGGACTCTTAATTCCCACAATTCCTGACAATTGAAGTCCAAAACACCTGGAAGGCTGATGTTTGTCCATGCCTACTGTACAGAATGCCCTGGGTGAATAGGTAAACACTAAGTGAAATCACATATTTTAATTCCACAGTTATAGTGGTTGTGTTGTAGTTCGGTTTAGGATTCAGGTATCATTTGAATCCAACATCATTTGGGCTATGCAGCCCTTTCAATTCTGTCTTTCCACACTACTGAGATTAATGTTTATAGTGACACATATGAAGGTTTGTGCAACAAACATGATCCCAAATATTCTTAAAATAAACGTTTGGCAAGAGAAGTTTATAACCAACCTGTTAACTGTTGTGAGGGATGGTCTCTTCCCTTTTCCAAAAACTGTGTTGCTTTCGCTTGATATTCTCATTATTCAAATCCCTGGTTCACCTTTCTGACTCCTGAGGCCATGAAATCTGCTGCAACAGTTTTGCATTATGCAACAGAGAAGAGATGCATGTACAGATACCAGTGTGCTATTGGCTTGAAATTCTAGTTCCCAACCCTCTGATGGTTCAGGGCAATTAGTTATAATTGAAAAAAACCCTCAAACATTAGCTTTAAAATGAAATATAAAAACTATAACTCGGAGTTCCCAACTTGGGTGTTCCTGCTGAAAATCTGCTTGGCTGAAATACTTGTTCTTTTGAAAGATGTCCCATTTCTTAGTGAGTCTCCAGAGAAGGAAAAGTTGTGTGGTTTAAGCCATTTATGCTGAGAATGTTGTGCCCCTGTAGAACAAATTGGGTGCATTCATAGTATGCTAAAATGTATGCTCTCATTTCCTTTTAAGAAACAATAATGAGGTGTAGGGAAGGATGTGGTTTCTGTGATGCATCAGACCAAGGCCAGCATACACTAAAAGAACAGGTTTGCAATTATATGCACACCATTTGTTTGGGGACCTAGAGAAAGCTATCTAATCTAAAACAGAATATACTCAAAATCCAGAGTCAAAGAATCATCGGCTTGGAAGAGACCAAAGAGCCATCTAGTCGAATCCCTGCCATATATGCAATAATCAAAGTAAGCCTCAAGTCTTGTGCTTGCCACATGTTATGAAAGATAAGTATGATTGTATGTACCCATACATATGCCACTTCCTCTTTAAATTCCTGCTTCTGAGCCTTTTGGTTAAATGCTCTTCCAGGTTTGTTTTAACAAAAACAACAAACAAGTTTCAGAGTCAAGTACAAGCAGCTGGTGAACCTACTGTTCCTTCTGTTATCTTTATTATTAGATGCATAAGCAACCTTTAGGATAAAAACAAAAACAAGGCAGGAGTGCAAGCAGAGAATTTAGTTTCCTCAATTCTCATCTTTTGTAAAGTTAGCTTTCAACTTTCGTGGCTTTAAAATTAGGCTTGGCCAAATTCAGAACCTTGTGGGAAAGGCTTTCTTGTAGATTGTGAGTGTGGCTTCCGTGGCCTGCCTACTTTCTTTCCTTTCATATGACTGAAGTATGCAGAATAAGTTATCTCAACCAAGCATTATATGCTGAGCTGCCAAATTTGCATGCTTCCTGTAGAGTACAGACATTTGTTTTCCTAGCTTCAGTACTTGACAGACCTTTGAGTCTTAGGCTATCCTCACTGTGCCTCTGCCTTGAGACAGTGTTATGTACTTGTATACAAAACAGCCGAGTCAATGGTCAGCATCTGAGTATGTGCAGTTCAGCTTTTCAACCACTACAAGGGTGAGCTAATGCACAATGTATAGGGTACAGGTACTGTTTGACAGTATCTGCAGCGCCAGAGAAAGAATTCAAGCCTTTTCTCTTTTTTGTTTTGTTTCTGAAGTTGCGTTAAAGTCAGACAAGTTGGCACTGCTTCTCCG